GAATTTCTAGGTACAACACCTTAAAGCGTGATTTTCCACCTTTTTTTTTCCTAGGGGATAGGTGGTTTTTGGTTTTCCACCTTTTTTTTTATTTTTATTTTTTGCTTTTTTTATTTTTTTTTTAATTGTTGGCAATGGGAACAAATTTTAGGAATAATTGTAAAAGAGGATATCCCTGAAATTGACAATTTCCACGTAAAACAAAGTCAAACGAACATCAAAAAATACTTTTACTTCAACATTTTCCACGTGAAAAATTTATACAATCAAACACAATAATTTACAATTTCCATGAAAACAATTTCTAGGTAATTCAATTCCTTGGAATTCATTTTCTTTCCATGTAATTTTCCTACTTGTAATCAAACGCACCCTTACTTTCTTTTGCCTCTCTCTAGATATGGTTCTTTTACTTTCTTTTGCTTAAGAATTAGGATGGACAGCAATACACAATCTTCGGAAAGGCAATCTATAGGTTCCACACCTTCTAGTCAGGCAAAGACTGATCCCACATGAGAACACTTCTCATCTAGTCGTGCATTGACGGTAAAGTTCGTTACACATATCTTTATCAGGGGTTTACGCTTATAGATGAAAATGATAAAGGCGAAATTTAACTATTTAATCTTTTATGTTTAGTGTACTTTTTGGTTCCAATTATTACTTGAAATTTTTTATTGGTAATAGTTGATGTGAAACTTTTAAATTTCAGTTATTTAAGTTTTCATGTTATTCAGTTATTGACATTATTGTTTGCTTTATGTTATTGATTTATTAAGTTATTTTAAATAATATGATAGGATTGAGTAGCACTTAGACTTAGTTGATTGTAATTGATTGGTTTTGTGATTTGATATAAATATTTACTTTTCATTCTTTTCTTTCTTTATTATAAATGTATATTTATTATTTTATTTTATAAAAGTCACTGGTTCGACCCCGATTTGACCTTTTGACCCTTAACCCTTCCTCTTTTCTAGGTCGATGATTGGTGCGATTTTTAAAACATTAATTAAAAGTAATTGAATTGGGAGTACTGCCCTGAGATAACATGTCATCCTTTAACTTCAACGCTGCTGTAACATTTCCAATCCTGCAATACCCATCATTCAACGTGTTAAAAACAACTTCATTTGGAACATACCCCTTGACCAACATTTCTTTAGAATAAAATTAGCTTCATCATATTTCTTTATTTTCGTCAAACCATTGATAAGCACACCATATGTTACATGGCTTGGGTTCAAACCATTATTCACCATTTCCTCCTTAAGTTGAAAAGCCTCTTCCAACTTTCCTTTTTTGAGCAACCCATGCAAAAGGTTATTATCAGTAACAAAATTTGGAGCTATACACACATCCTCCATTTTCTTAAACAACATAACTACATCATTGACCCTCCTTTTCATAACACATTTATCGACGTACTAAACAAGTAAAACATCTGGCAAAATGGCCTAAGAAATAATATTAAAGACCTTGTAGCATTTTTCGAGCTCATCTGCCTTGACGAGCGAGCAAAGCAAAAAATGAGAAGTCTTAAAAGATGGAAACAACACTCTGCTCGTTAAAAGACGAAACACGTCCACTGCAACATCAAATCCCAAACTCTTGAATTGACTAGCATAAACATGAACCAAAATGTCAAACGTTATCGGATCCTGAATAAAAATTTGCTAATAAAACTGTAATCTCTTTATGCATACTCCCAACAATCTTATTAAAAGCAACCGCGCTGTAGAATCGTGATTCATACTCACTAACAAGTGAATCAAAAGGCAATAAGATCTGACTGTGAATTTGAAGAGCAGAAGCGCTAGCGAAGTAAAAGAACTTCAATGCAATTGTAGGATCAATCAAATGATAAATTTCTAACAGAATGGTATCAAAGTGATGAAGAGTTAACTGGGATAGTAAATGTTTCCATTTAGATGTATTTAAATGTAGGCTTGAGAGAAAGAGGGATACCCATTTCTTGTTGAGCAATGTCTGATCAAATGTTGTCTGTGTTGGCACTCTCCCGAGTTTCACTGGGGCGCCCTCTTCTTCCACCTTTATTTTCGAAGACTTCTGGTTTTCGGGCTACGGGTTATTCGGGGCAGTGGATAAAGAGATAGTAACTGTTCATTTGATGGGTTGTAACAATACCGCGTTGGTGATAGGGACGGGGTTAAGGTTTTTGAATCTCTTTATATCCATATGAATGAATATGTATGTAAACGTGTACGTATATACAAGCTGTAATAGGGATGAATCCAACACCTGGCAAGCTTTGAATTACAAGTTGGCAGACTTTGTATATGAAAATTGAAGGGCAAGCCGCCGGGAAGATGAACCGGTGAAGGAGGAGATGGTTTGTTTGACAATTTTGGGCATTTTTTTGTAATGAGATTTTGTTTTCGGCCCCTTTTTTCTAAACATTAGATCGTGGAAATTACAGAATTCCAGATATTTGGAGATCACGGTGCATGACTCAAACTCCAAAGTTGTTTATGCAAATTTCAAGTTTTAATTTAATTATTATATATTTAAATATTAAATTATATTTTATTTTTAAACGATATGTATTGCAACTATCGCGTTTCCTTAAATATTGCAATTCGAATTTTAATTATGATAACTTCCATAATAAACCATTTCATCTATCTCCCACTCTCTCTCTCTCTCTCTCTCTCTCTCTCTCTCCAAATCTCTTAATCCTATACACGGTTCTTCCCAAGTGTCGAAATTTTCCCATTTCATCTATCTCCCACTCTCTCCTCCAATCTCTCAATCCTCTACACTGTTCATTCATATCACTTCCGGCAAGTTAGAATACAAGCCACGTCCGACCACATCAAGTATTGTATAATATAGTCGACCTTTTTCGCCATAATTTCTTTGACATCTAAAATGGAGAAGTCGAAGGCGAAGTTAGTTATCAATGTCGAAGATTCTTTCGAACGTAGAAGTAAGAGGAAATCCGAGGTTAGCCCCAAAAAAACACCACCTAATAAGCAACCACCGTCTCGGACTGCGAAGAAATTGCTCTCGAAAAAGGTAATTATCATTTTAGGTATTGGTTGTTATGATTTTATTGGCAAACATGTTGATGGAATTCATGGATTAGAAGCATTGAAGTCTTATGTAATTTTTGCGACATTTAATTGGCTGTAATTGTTAGCTTAGGGTTTTTGGTACCAATATTGGGTGTGACCTAGATTTCTCTTGAAATGTGGCTTAATTACATAACAAAAAGTATGGATGTGACCTCGCCATTATCAATATGTAACCAAGATGTCAATATGTGACCGAGGGAGTTATGAATGTGTGGCTTTAATGATTGTTGCATGTGGCCTGATTGTTGAAGTTGTTGATTTATACAGCTATGACCTTATTCATTATGAACAATGGTGCCTACATTGACTAAGATGTCAAACTGTGACTGTAGCTTATATGGTGTGTGGCTTGAATGCACAACATAATGTATGCCTATTAATGGTTTGTAACGTGATTTGAGAGAAATTATAAAATCTTAGGCACTTAAAGGTCACAATGCAAAAATCAACGAGGAAGATTTTTTGTTCAAAATTCAAGTATTGATTTAACTATTAATATTAATAATAAAATATATCAACTAATTAATTAAATTCCAATCCCTAAATTCATGTCACTCCATCTTCCCTCTTCACTCTCTCCACTCAATCACACCACCACCTCCGCCGCCGCCGTCCCCCACTGTCGAAGACCGTCACCCACGTCAATAATCCACAATCGAACTCACAGCGACAACGATGTTGACACAGTGAAGAAGTTCCACCGAGCGCGAAGCAGAACGCCAGCATGCTTTTGTGGTTTTGAATGGTGGACCACCGCTCATGGCAACAATCCACCGTCGAACTCAGAGTGACGACAACGTTGACACGGCAAAGCAGTTCAATCAAGTGCGAAACAGACCACCAGTGCGATTTTGGGGGTTTGGATGGTGGATTATTGTGAGTTCAAAGAAGTAGATCCATCGAGTGCGAAGAAAAACATGTCAAACAAGCAAACTCTGAACCTACACCGCGAAGAAGACTACCCACTCTGGCCGCTCTTCACAGGCAAAGCACGCCACCGGCGTAAGGTAGAAGCGATTTGGGGTGGTGGCGATTCTTTTGGTTTGGATGGTGTGTTTTGTGTGATGAAGGTGTTTGTGGTGGTGGATTTGGCGGCTTGCGTTGGTTTTGACGGTGTTTGTGGTGGTGGATTTGGCAGTTGGTGTTGGTTTTTATGGTGTTTGACGGTGGATTTAACAATTGAGGTGAATTTGGATGGTGTTTTGGGGGGGATGGTGGTGGTAGTGGCGGCGGTGATTGTGGTAGTGGTGGTTTGATTGTGTTTTATTGAATTTGGCAGTGGTTTGGGGATCGTTTTGGTGTTGTTTGGGGGGTTTTATGTGGTTTTTGGTAGTTGTGCAGGTAGAGATGTTGGAGGAGATGGTGGATCTGGCGGTGGTGCGGTAGTGGTGGTGGTGGTAACGACGATGGTTGCAGGGAGAGGTTGGTCACAATTGACGGTAATGTTGGTGGCGATGATATGTGACCAATTATTTGGTCATCTGTGATTACTTATTCAATTGTGACCTAAAAATTTAATAACATGTGACTGAAAATTAATTTGTACCAATTAAAAATCATATGTAACTAATTAATTGTGATCAACAAATGAACTGTGACCTATAATTTTTTTGATTTGTGACCGATGAAATAAAATGTGACCTATACAATTTTTAATTTGTGACCTCAAAATAAACTGTGACCTATACAATTTTTGATTTGTGACCTCGAAATAATTTGTGACTAATTAATTCAATAATATGTGAATAATAAATAAATTGTGACCTTTACTTATGTATCTGTGACTATTAATTTTATAACAGTGACTTTATTATATTTAATTAATAAATATTTTTAATTAATTATATACACACACACACACACACACACACACACACACACACATATATATATATATATATATATATACACCTGAATTTTGAACTTTTAAACTATTTGCCTCACTTTTGAATTGGTGTAAACAATACACCTTAAATATAATTTTTTCCCGAATGTGAAAATTACAAAATTCCAAATATTTGGAGATCACGGTGTAAGACTCAGACTCCAAAGTTGTTTATGCAAATCTCAAGTTTTAATTTAATTATTATATATTTAAATATTAAATTATAATTTATTTTTAAACGATATGTATTGCAACTATCGCGTTTCCTTAAATATCGCAATTCGAATTTTAATTATGATAACTTCCATAATAAACCATTTTATCTATCTCCCACTCTCCCTCCCCCAATCTCTTAATCCTATACACTGTTACTCCCAATGGCCGAAATTTCTCCATTTCATCTATCTCCCACTCTCTCCTCCAATCTCTCAATCCTCTACACCGTTCATTCATTTCACTTCCGGCAAGTTAGAATACAAACAACGTCCGACCACATCAAGTATTGTATAACACAGTCGACCTTTTTCGCCCTAATTTCTTTGACATCTAAAATGGAGAAGTCGAAGGCGAAGTTGGTTATCAATGTCGAAGATACTTTCGAACGTAGAAG